GGAACCCGAGCCGAAATCGACGGTTGTATCCGACGGTTGGATTCGAAGACCACGGCCACGATTCAAACGAGACGCACGAAGCTGAGGTCAGATTGTCGAATCACAATGAGCGTGACGTGACGGAACCACGCCGCCTTAGCTGGAAAGCACAAAGCCCACCAGCAGACACGTGGCTCACTCACACTGAATCTAGTTACACCCAAAGGAAAGGTCTCACCTGGGAAAACTCGACCCAAATCCGCGAGTCGAGTAGAGTTTCTCCCCCAAAAGCTAACTTCGTCTGAACGGCTCATTCGCCTTTGGAGACAAACGACAAATAACACGACTTGTCCAAACCCTTGGACCGCCAACGAGATAGCCTTGTTTAAACCCGCGCCTCGGGCGGCTGAGGGTTAGAGTAGAAATCTTAGCATTAAGCCTAAAAGAAACTACTCAACAACTCATCATACTAAGGGGAATAGTATGGCTAGCCCGATTCAAACGGTAATTGGTAAAGGCAAATCAAACACGTTGATAGCTGAGGGTTTGCTAAAAATCCTAGAAAAGGCCAAATACATCTGATTCGCCAGGAACTTCTTCATTCAAAGTATTCCAGACCACACGCAAGCCGGTTTAGGTCTGAAAACTTTGAAGGGGGTCTTGTAGACGGTAAAAAATACCTCTGTAAACTTGCGAGAAATTCGCCTGCAAGGAGAAGTCGCCAACACAATTCGCCAGCACAGGCCTAAGCCGCGCAGTCGTCAAACACACTCGTATCTATTTAGTCCAAGATTCGCCTGAGTGATCGGCTCGCCGCACGAGTCGAGATCGACTAAATAACGGAAATTCGCCTTTTTACAACTCGCCCGAACGAGTCTAAAGTCGGATCCGCTTGCAAACCTTAAGGTCGCCAGTATAGCTGGGTATCCGCTACCCCACGTGCCAGGGCAGGCTTTCCCACCTCTCTTGACCCGAAAGGAGAATGCACAATACTTCAGGCCCGTCGAATGGCCGCTCACAGTACGAGTGATCGGACAGGTGCCAGATCAACCAGAACATTCATAAATGCAGCTCATCTCGCCCGTCCGAGTCAAGAGCTGGATCCACCGACATTCGGCAAGCTGTCCAAACTCACTCGAGTACTGGGCACCCGCTTTCCCACTTCTCTTGACCTGAAGGGAAAAGGCACAGTACTCCAGGCCCGTCGAGTGGCCGCTCATAGTACGAGCGATCGGACAGATGCCAAATCAACCTGCGCGCTCATAAATGCAACTCAGCTCATCGGTCCAAGTCAAGAGCTGGACCCGCCGGTGGCCAAATCCACTCGAGTAGTGGGCAGCCGCTATCTCACATACGAGGATGGGCCTTCCCACTCCTAGGTGACATGACGTGAAGTACAACCCATCGAATGACTGTTCGTAGTACAGATAGACGGCATGACATTTCTCAATAGTACATGGTCATATCCCATGATTCAAGGAGTGACCACGCGGTCTCTCCACTATTTTTAAGAACTTCTTCCAGCCACAAAGGGGAGGTACACAGTTTCACCGGTTCACCAGTTCAGAACTTCTTCCAGCCAAAAAAGAAGAGGTTCAGCTGTTTTTAGCCGCTCAGCGATTCGCCCATAGTTGAATCAGCTAACCGAACCACTAGCTCTCGACTCTCGATCGGGTCGACGGCAATCTCTTTGCATAACCTTTGCACTGTAGCATCTCCTCTCAGTTCCGGGCCCTGATCGCCGCTGAACTCTGAGACCCAAACTCCATCAACCCGAGCTCCTACTGTGTACTGAAGCTCTCCAACAACCTCGGTCGAACCGTCCAAGGAAATCAGACTCGGTACGAGCATCGAGCGAAGCATCCTGTAGCTACCGAAAGTCCCCACATTAAACAAGGAGGGCATTCCCTCCGCTTCTGTTGTAATTTTGATTTATTAGTTTGTAATAAGCCATTCTTATTAATACAAACGAAGTTCCCTGTTCCCGGGAGATCAAAATTTACACCTACATTGATATATCATAGCGGTCCGTCACCATTCATTGTGATAGCATGAGTGCTATCTATTTGGCGAAGAATCAGGTTTTTCATGCGAGGACGAAGCACATTGACGTTCGTTATCACTTCGTTCGGGATGTTCTTGAAGATGGCGATGTGGAGATTGTGAAAGTCCATACGAAGGATAATCCGGCGGATATGCTCACTAAGGTGGTATTGAGTAACAAGTTTGATCATTGTCGAAACTTGTTACATATTCATGATTGTTGAGACCGTTGACGGCCATTTGGATGAACTACGGGCGGCTTGATCCCTTGGGAGAGGGGGTACGTAGGCAACCACATTGGTGCAGCCGAGTTTGGAGAGACGACACATTGGTGCTCATGTTTGTGTCGGCTCAGTGTTGGGAACACTTCGCCGAGGTGGAGAATTGTGAAAACGGCGAAGAAATTATAAAAAACGTGAAGAAAAACCCAAAACAGACTCCACCACACACTGGTGTGGTGTCTGCCATGGGTGTGGCAGAATCTGCCCTGTCTGCCATGGGTGTGGACTGCGCCACATCCTGGTGTGGCAGAATCTGTCCTGTCTGTCATGGGTGTGGTCTGCGCCATACCCTGGTGTGGCAGACTCGTTTTTAGAATCCTCTTTTGTTTGGGAATCCTCCTTTATTTGGGATTGTGTTTTATTATAAATAGGACCACGTTTTTAGGGTTTTAAAAGGAGAGAAAAGGAGAGAATTAGCATTGTTTTGAGCACTTTGAGAGGGAGATATTGTGAGGGAGTTGAGGGCTTTGGTTAGGGTTATATTTGAGTGATTTTGTGAGTTGTAACCCGTTGTATTTCTCCTCCATATAGTGAAATCTCCCCATCCTCTCCCCGTGGACGTAGGCAATTGCCGAACCACGTAAATCCTTGTGTTTGGTTTGATTTGTGTCGTATTTTGGTGAATTGCACTCGTGATTTGGTTTGGTTTTCTTCTCTCATCACTCACCGACTCGTTTGGTTATCGAGCACGCTTCCGCACGGCGCGCAACATCCAAAGGACCTGAAAAGTAAAGGCTTTATATCCTACAGAGAATGAAACAAATGATAACAGAGCATTTGAAAAAGCTCAAGTGATCAACAGCATTTAGATAGGCAAGGCTTTTCATTCACCGAACTCAGACTAGCAAAAATATCTGAAAATAGAAGAAAAGAATCAGAATACATGGAAAATTGCTTGTAGATAGCAAAACTCAAAGATTCATGCATTAGCACTCTTAGAGCAGCTCCAACCGTTCCCTATATCTCCATTTTGGAGCCGCATCTCCATCCAACCGAACTGCATATTTTGCAGTTAGCTGCAAAATCGGTTCTTGAGGTTGCAAATTTGGAGATTTCTCTCCAAATTTGCAGCCAACTCTATACTACTATTCCCCCAAAAAAATACCAAAGTTAACCCTCAATCTCTTTAACAATATTTCATTATTCCAATTGTATCCCGTTATTATTTTTTATAGTTACTTAAAATCTGTATATATATATATTAATATATTAAATATTTTTTAATAAAAATAATATCATTGGAAATGTCTCGTCGATACCTTCAAAATGAGACTAATATCGAAATATAAAATTGCAAAACAAGTAATTAGAAATGATAATACATTGGAGCTTAAACTGAAATAAAACACATTAACTTAGAATTACATCGAAACTTTAATAAAAAAAGTTACATCACTTCATTATCGTATCTCTCCCACAAATGTTCAATTAATGCATTTCGAAGTGCGAAGTGTGCATGTAATTTTCATGTATTATGTTTTTTCCTATTTGTCATGTAATTTTGAATTCATGTTTTTGCTTTCTATGTAATAGTCGTGGATTTAGTAATATGAATGTCTGTTTAATTTAATCCGAATACCTATTTTATATTAATACATTTAATAATATTATTACTAATATTATTTATATTATATAACTTTTATTTTTTTATTATTTTTATATATTCAAAATGAGAGTAATATTAAATAATATTAATTGAAATATAAAATTCCAAGAATTAAAGAAAATTAATTCTATTTCTTATTATCAATTCATTAAAGAAAATTAATTTTATTTAAATATATGATTACATTATATATTTTTAAAATAAGTAAAAGAATTAAACAATTGAGAGAAATTAAAATGGAGTTGAAAATAGAGGAGTGTGATTGGAGTTATATAACTCTATTTTAGCATATTCTAAGGAATATGCCAAAGTTTGGGATGCAAAATAGAGTCCCACGTTAGAACTGCTCTTAGGAAAAAATCAATCTCCCAAAAAGGCTTGGACCCAAAGAACAATTAATTCTTCTACACCCCTCACGCCACTTGACACCTCATCAAAACTTTTTCTTCCTTCTTTACCCTTCTTTGTCCTCATCTCCTTTTCTTTTCAACTCATTCACCTCCTTTTTGTCTTCTAGCCTTTTTTTAATTTCCATTCTTTTATACAGAGAACAGAATTATGAGTTGATATATAAGGTAGAATTTTATTTTGGTGTATAATAATCTTTTATTGATCTCCTTTTGTATTTTCTTATTCAATTTAATTCTCAAAAAGTTTTCTTTTCATATTGACATGGTAACCAGTAGCTATGACAATTTTTTTTCCTTGCAAATTTCCTTATTTAAATCTCATGTGATTTTCTTTTATTATGATGAAAACCAAAACACAGTAAACTGTGACATTTGACTCATAAATGTTAGATTTTTTGTAAGGGGCTGTTTGGTTCGCTTTTTAACTCGGTAGAAAAGTTTTACATTGTCTCCACATAGGACTTTTCGTGGTCACGTTGGATATAAGTTTTTCGTCGGGTTTTTTCCCCTCTTTGGTTTTCTAGGGTTAAAGAAGGGAAACGAGGGAAAAGTCGCCGCCACATCAGTTCTTTTTCTTTCTCCAATTCCTTCCTCGACCTCGTAAAATCAAAAAAAACCTGCAGCCACGTCAGCTTTTTTTTTTCCTTGTTAATTTCTTGGACGAGCTATACTTACCTCTCCTGCCGTTAGAAACTCCCGCGGCCTCTTTGCTTCTCCGCTTCATCCCAAACCCAAAATCCCCAACCCAATTCCTCTCTCTCTCTTTCATGATTTCGAGGATTTCTTCATCTCCCCAAAGATGTCTTTCGACGGTAGCTTCATCCTCGAATCCGCGCTCGAGCGGTTCCTCTCTCGCCATCCCAATCTCCGCTCCGTCCCCAAACTTGGCGCTCTCTCTCAAAAGGTTATCTTTTTTCGAACCCTAAAGATTCAATCTGTCGAATTTTGCTTCTCAATTTTGTTTTGATTTGTTATAGGGAGGAGCTTTGACAGCGGATGAATTGGTCGCGACGATCGCCGACCCTTTTACTTCACCCGAGCTACACGATTCTGATCGTAGGATACTTTCGCCTACTCGTTCGGAAGATTGCATTGAGGGCTGTGAACAAGCAAGCTTCGTAATGTTCTGAGCTTGGAGTCGGAATCGAGAGAGGTTGGAGAGGAGATTGGGAAGGAAAGCGAACCCACCAATTTTTTTTTTTTTCATCATGTCTTCTCCTAGCAAGCGTCGTGAGATGGATTTGATGAAACTGTGAGTTTTCTCAATTGCTCTTTTGTTGGTTTTTGATTTGGCTGACTAAAGTTTGTTTTTTTTCCCTTATTTTTGGGGGTATTTTTGATGTAGGATGATGAGTGATTACAAGGTGGAGATGATAAATGATGGGATGCAGGAGTTTTATGTAGATTTCCACGGGCCTAATGACAGGAAATTATCCTTACCCATCTCTTTGTTTTTTGGTTAAAATCTCCTAATTTTTTTAGGGTTTTCAAGGAGTTAGCAAATGGGGTTTTGCTAGCGTGTAATTTTTCTATCTGGGTATGCTTTTGATTATTTAAGATACGGTTTTGATTATTTTTGTACTTGATTTTGTAACTTCATGAGAATTTTGTCTGGGTAATCCCCCAAATAGATTGCTCAAAGTTGATCATTTTCTTTGTTGTTATTGAGTTGAGAGATCGATCTTATTCTGCGAGTTCTCCTAGTTCTTTTATTTGCTTCATTATGATAAGTTAATACTTAGCAATTTGATGGATGCTTTGTTGATCATTCATTGATCTAATATTGTTTTTGTATGGGTTTATATTATATTGTTTGCTTTTTGGGTGATTTCATATCTATGGATGTGTTATTTTTATCTTCATTTGGATTGAAGCAGGTCTTTATCAGGGAGGAGTGTGGAGGGTCAGGGTGGAATTGCCTAAGGCTTATCCTTATAAATCTCCATCCCATGGTTTTACTAACAAGATTTATCATCCAAATGTCGATGAAATGTGAGTAAATATAGTGTTTAGGGGTGATATGTTACTTTATGATATTTTTTCGGATAATATTCTTAGCAAGTTGGATTTTGTGTAGCGTGCAAGTTTATGATAGCGTTATTTGATCTATTCTCAGGTCTGGTTCTGTTTGTTTGGATGTTATTAATCAAATATGGAGCCCCATGTTCGGTAAATGACTATCACTGTGTTTCATGATTTTGTATAAGAATGTTTCTGGCTAAGTTTGATGCCTATTATAGGACTTATAAACTGTTGCATATTTTATATGTAGATCTTGTTAATATATTTAAAGTTTTCCTACCTCAACTTCTTCTGTACCCAAACCCATCGGATCCCTTGAATGGGGAGGCTGCAACTTTGATGATGCGTGATAAACCTGCCTAAGAACAAAAAGTGAAAGGTGAGACTTGAGAGATTCATTGCCTCTTCTCATGTGCTTAGCATTTCATATCTACTCTTTGATTTAATTATTTGACACTGAATTTGTCAAAATTCCTGAGATTAGCCACCTGCAATACCGTTTGATATTGCACTGGAGGCTAACAATGATGATATTAACCCAGTTCTGAGCCCTCGTCCATAATCAGTAGCCAAGTGCTGATTACATGATGTTGTTGGTTGGTACTTGATGTTGTTGGTGTGCACATGTTGGTTATATATGTTGGTTGGCTGGTATTTTGTGCTCGACTTTTTGTGTGCACATGTTGGTTCTATATGCTGTTTTTTGGGTATTTTGTGCTTGGTTTTTGTGTGCACATGTCGGTCTTCTATCATATATTATCATAAGGTCCCCTAGTTCCAACTTCCATATAAACGTGATTTGGCCTGATGGAATTCAATAATAAATTACGAGTTTGTGCAACATGCATCTATTTGCCTGAAGGAATCTCGATTATAACCTTCTATATTTCCATTATTTGAAGGTTTTGACTAATTTGGCTTCAATGGGTAACACACAAGTAACTGCGCAATCTGAGCAGATAGCACCAGAATTCCTAGCAATCACTTAAGATCTGACTACAAAAGGATCAGAAGCCGATGCAAAGCCGAATAATTGTTGTGTCTGTCCTGAAACAAAGAAGCTTAGAGATGAATGCATTGTGCAACATGGAGAGAACAAATGCGGTAAATATATTGAAGCCCACAAAAAATGCCTACGGGCTGAAGGGTTCAATGTGTGATGATCTTTGGATGATAGTTCAGGCTGATAACAGTTTAACTTTTCAGAGATCTTGGATGATTTTTTTCTTCCCAAAATGTATAATTGATCAGTTCATCTGTTTGAAGATGTAATGAATAAAAATGCCAGAATGTTTTTTATGGATATGTCTATTACTTTGTGCATGTACACTGCAGTTTTGTACTGATATCATAGCAGTTTGAGGTTTCTTTCTTTACTTAAAATGTTGGGCTCGCCCAATTATAAAGATGCGCCATAGAAATGATTTCTTGATGTTATCTCAAACAGTTATATTTCAAGTCAAATCAGGTAAGCATTTCATAGCAATTGATTCATGTTATTTCAGGTTTCGTATGATTTCATTAATACAAACAGAAATTTATAATTCATTCAGAATATTATTATTTGTTCATGTTACATTCGAACTTTTCTATGATTAATATTACCTCATATAACGAACATAAATAATTTTGTATATAGTGGGGGTAATCTTACCATGGTGACCATAAATATTTTCCTTCAAAACCAACCAAACACAAGAAAAGTGGAAAATGTCAAATCAACAAAAGTTTTTCCTTTTTTTCCATGCGAATCAAACACAAGAAAATTAAATACATTGGTTTCCCACCCTTTTTATGTGCGAATCAAACTGAAACAATCTATTTCTTGGAAAAGTTTGGAATACTCAAAACTTGTGTTTCTTTACATGGAATTGCATTTCCCTATATCTAGGAAACGAACCATACAGCCCCTAAGTGTCAATTAAATGTCACCTTTATATGTTATTTATGACGTTTACCTATTAGCTTACATTTGTTTTTCACTTGTGACTTTAATCTCTTAAATTAAAGGCTTGTTTGGATTTGTAGGGGGTGAAGGGAAGTTAAGGGAAACTAAATGACGCCTTTGACTGATGTTTGTGACATCAAGATATTAGATGTTACATATGTTTGTTATTTTTAACATTTAGTTAATAAATGTCATATTTATTTCTTATTGTGTCAATCTTAATGTCTAAACGTCACGTTTAACAAATAAATCACAAATATGATCGGTAAGAGATAAAACTGACGAATAATTAAATTTATACACATGAATTAGAAGTTAGATGAAGACGACCTAAACTACGAAAGTTGGACAGTAGTATTAAAAAAAAAATTATCAGGTTGTATATACTCTCATACCCATGTTAGAAATAAAATACAGAAACTTTTATTTATTATAGTTGTAATATAATCGTCACACCTAAGTTGGATTCCATATTTGACAGATATATCAAAAGTAGCAATATGAGTACATAATAAAAATAATAGTTTGAGTAGACACGTATCAACAATAACACTTTTGAGTACAAAATAAAATATAACATCTATAAGTAAAAACTTTTGGGGTCGTCCTCATCACATTTTCTTTGGTTCTTCATTTCACGGCCTTCACATATAAATGACCAAGATGTTTGGCCCATAAAATTTTGGCATCCTTTTGACAATCTTCAAGATCCACCATCTTGTATTCATAAATAAAAAATAACTATCACATGAAATACAAATTTATCATATTTAATTATTAAATATCATAGATAATTATAATAGATCAGATATATACATCAATATTTTACAAATAAGGAATAGCTGTCTCACTAAATAAAGATATATCACATTTAATCATTAAATAAAATAGATGATGTTGATAGATCATAGATAAACAATGACATATAACAAATAATAAATAAGTATCTCACAAAATACAAATTCATCATATTTAATAATTAAATATCACAGATAATACCAAAATATCACAGATTAACAATGATATATCACAAATAATGGATAACCATCTCACAAAATAATGGTTTACAACATTTAATTATTAAATATTACAGATAATGTTGGTATATCACAGATAATGGATAAATGTTGCAAGAAATGCTCCATGATATTCAGAAAGAACCACCTGCATACACTTGATGTTGCGCGTCGTGCGGAAGCGTGCTCGACAACCAAACTAGTCGGTAAGCGATGAGAGAAGAGAACTAAACCAAATACGAGTGTAATTCATCAAAATACGACACAAATCAAACCAAACACAGAGATGTACGTGGTTCGACAATTGCCTACGTCCACAGAGAGAGGATGGGGAGATTTTACTATATGGAGGAGAAATACAACGGATTACAACTCACAAAATCATTCAAATATAACTCTAACCAAAGCTCTCAACTCCCTCACAATATCTCCCTCTCAAAGTGCTCAAAAGACTCAATAATCTCTAATTAAGAAACCATAGAAATCGTGTTTGTATTTATACAAACACCCAATCCAAAACCGTCTAGGAAAATAAAATCGGCCTATAACCACTTACCGGTCAACCGCACATATTCAATCGTCCAACCGGACAGCAGCTCAATTTCTCACCCTATAATATGCACGTTTTCGGTCTATCGGTCATACCCGTTCGGTCGACCGACCAGAGACGGGTCAAAACCTTTAATTCAACAATCTGTCGGTCAACTGGGCCTATGCCGTCGGTCGACCGACCCGAGGGATTTCCTGTACTCGTGTCTTTTACACGATTTTCTCAAATCCTTCGCCATTTTCTACAATTCTTCACTTCGGTGAAGTATTCCCAAAACTGAGCCGACACCAACATGAGCACCAATGCGTCGTCTCATTAAATTCGGCTTCACTAATATGGTTGCCTACGTACCCCCTCTCCCAAGGGATCAAGCCGCCTGTAGTTCATCCAAATGGCTGCGAACGACCTCAATAATCACGAATTTGCAACAAGTTTCTATAATGATCGAACTTGTTGCTCAAAACCACCTTTGTGAGCATATCCGCTGGATTGTCTTTTATGTGGACCTTCACGAGCTCCACATCCCCATCTTTAAGAATATCTCGAACAAAGTGATAACGAACGTCGATATGCTTCGTCCTCACATGAACGACCTGATTCTTCGCCAAATAAATAGCACCCATGCTATCATAATAAATGATGATGGATCGCTGTGAAACACCAAGATCCTCCAAAAGTCCTCGAAGCCAAATTGCCTCCTTAACAGCCTCTGTAATCGCTATATACTCTGCCTCCATCATCGACAAAGTCACAGTAGACTGTAAGGTGCATCTTTAACACACCGACGCTCGAGTCAAAGTGACCATATACCCTATCGTCGACCGGCGTTTATCCAAATCTCCAGCATAATCCGAATCTACGTATCTAATACATAGCTACCCACCGCTAAGGTCCCGCTCAAAAACCAAACCAACGTTGAGAATACCTCGAATATACCTCAAAATCCATCTCATCGCATCCCAATGACCCGGACCTGGGTCGTGTATGTATCTCGAAACCATGCTCACTGTTGTGACAAATTCGGCCTCGTACAAACTATGGCGTATACCAAACTTCCAACTGCGCTCACATATGGAGTCTTTAACATTAACTCTCTATCTTCAACTATCTTCGGTGAAATGTCAGCTGAAAGCTTCAAATGGGCTCCCAATGGTACACTAACTAGCTTCGTCTTCGTGCTTACATTGAACCGTTGTAGAACCTTCTTCAAATAAGCCATTTGTGTCAAACAAATTCTGCCATTGTCTCTGTCTCTACCGATCTTCATTTCCAAAATACGCTTCGCTTCATGCAAATCCTTCATCTCGAACTCATTCGAAAGTTAAATCTTTAATCTATCCAGCGGATCTAGAAGTAGAAGCAACCAAGATGTCATCGATATAAAGCAATAAGTAAATATATGCACCTCCATGCAACTTGCGATAATACACGTAAGGATCAAATTGGATTCTAATGTACGAATGACCGAGCATAAACCTATCAAATCGCTTATACCACCGTCGCAAAAATTGCTTCAAACCGTATAGCGATTTTTTCAACCTACAAACCAAATTTTTCTTCACTACGGCTCGAAACCCTAATGACTGAGGCATACAGATTTCCTCATCAAGACCACCATGAAGAAATGTTATTTTCATATCCAATTGATCTAATTCCAAACCATACTATGCCATCAAAGCTAGAAAAATCTTAATCGAAGAATGCTTCACCACCAGAGAGAAGACCTCATTGTAGTCAATATTTTCCTCCTGTGCATATCCCTTCGCAACCAACTGAGCCTTGAACCTCACGGGAGTGCCTTCAATGCCCTCTGTTGGGAGTAAAAATTGACTTCCCATTTGAGGGGTCGTTTGTATTTATAAGAATTGATTATTACAAACTAATGATCAAAGTTTATAACAGAAGCGGAGGGAATGACCCTCCTTATTTAACGTGGGTTCGTCTGCAGCGGTAGGACATCTCCCTCGGTGCTCGCGCCGAGTTTGCTTCCCTTAGACGATCTGATCGAAGTTGCAGTTGGAGCTTTTGTACGCAGTAGAAGCTATTGTGGATGAGTTCGACGGACGAGCAATTGCTTGATTGCTCGGAGCCTAAGTACGCCGAGATCTCAAAGTTCGGTCCTCTTTAGCTGAGGATTCGAACGAGATCACGAATAAGCTGATTGCCAAGGAGTTTGCCAAGAGTCAGGCTCAGTTCTCTTAGAGCTTAAGAGTATGGCTGAGCACGGTTCGGTTCGGATCGGTTTTTACCAAATTTTGAATAACCGAACCGAACCGCATATACTTCAAAACCGAACCGAACCGTTGCAAGTCGGTTCGATGCGGTTCGGTTCAGTTTGTTCGTTTTAACTTCATTTTCAGAATGACTTAAACAGTAGACCTACCAAATGCTAAATCAAATAGAATATATCATGACAGGTAAGGGATCCCATGAATATTAAATAGTAGTATTTCAGGGGTTTCCGACTTAATTTGGAAAAAGAAGAGGGGAACAAAGGAACAAAATCATCATCCATGAAAACATATACACCAGAAAACAAATTAAGGATCGTTATCAAAGCACAAACTCAGAAATTATAAGAGAATATGAGTGCATAAATGAATAGGAACCTGATAGGCCGATATCTCAACTTACTAGCTGTTGTATCCAAGGAAATAAATCAAAATTAAAGAATAATTACAGTCAAGAAGCTTGAAGAAGAGAAAAAGATAAAGTTTATACCTCGGCCTCGGTGATGGCGATGGGTACAGGTGTCCCCCAAAGCCGGAGACAGATCCTGAGCCTGAGGAGATGTTTCAGCCTCGGCCAT